AAGTCGTGATTGGTACTTTAAGTTTGTATCCTGTTTACCCAAGCAAACAACAGGTTTGTTGCCATTGGTTAAGGGCGGGGGGCACACGCCGAATTTAAGTCAAGGAGGGTTTTACCGGAAAATGTACAACTACTAAAATTTAAACGAATTTACATCCGGGACCACTGGGGCGTATTTTCCATATCCTCAATAGTGAGGGTATCGATGACGTCATTTCGCGCCATTGCATTGCACAGCTGCCAAAACTTTGCAAAAGCCGGTTGAAAGATGGCGAGCAATAGGAATGTCAAATTCACTGAAGCCTACATAAAATCGTTCACTGAGGAGCACGTAAATACCAAAAGTGCCAAATTGAAGAAAGAAACTTCCTGTGGCTAAGAACTATCCAAGGGGTCTCTTCGAAGTAAAGTAAAGGAGAGATATTCAAGATATTCCAGCCGCCGAGCTTCAGTCTCGTTGCAGACCAATATCTCACTCGTACATATTGTTTTTGCTACTATCTTACTGCCACCGTGTAACACCCTATATGTATGTGTCAAAAGGAATCTCTTACGAGATCAACTCACCATCGGCGCGGAGTCTGTTTCTGCTAATTCACTTTGATCCATGCCCTAAAGACGAAAAGGAATGAAAAACTCAATGTCTGTCGGGTACAATTACGAAATGTAAGTACGAATGGCAACTTACCTCTCCAGGCCTCCGCTCCTCTGTTGCCCTTTGCAGCGCGAGATCTGGTGGCGAACGAGATCTGACTATGGCCTGCTGGGACTGTTGTTGTTTTTCCTGCTGTAACTTGCTGTACTTGTTTTCAGCTTCTGTCAGTTTCTGTTGCACTCTTTCCAACTGTGCCCGGTGTTCTTCTTGAATGACGTCGAGTTTTTCCTTTGATACAACAATCAGAAATAATTCGTGTCACCGCGCAAAACTGACCAAGATGTTCACTCTCCCTACAATACTGATATACTGTTAAGCAGGCAGGTAAAGAGAATGAGAGAAATGATCACTGAACTAGGGTGAGATGCGGTCTTGATGTACCAACAAATGCGGAACTCACGCTATTAAATAACGACCTATCCAGATCTTCACAGGACTGACAACACACAATCCACGGAAAAGGGTAAGATTCAGTAGGTTAGTTTGTAAACCACTGGGCAGTAATTTCTCACATGAATAGCAATATCCACCTTATGAGCAACTGGAGTTCGGCTCTCCACATACGAGAAACCCTTTCTGAACGACTTTCCTTTGGGTATACTTTTCAGTCATTAATCTCGGCAATCTCCAACCCCTGCCATCTCGAACTATTTCGCGTTTTTCCTGAGAGTTCAAAATAGCGNGCATAGTTATTTAAATAAATTAAATAAGGGTACTTAAATTTTGAATTTAAATTTAAGCCAGTTTTCTTACTTTAACTGTCTTTTCATGCTCATGCTCCAGCTCATTGTACATTCCCCGCAAACCATCATTTTCCTCAAGCATCTTTCTTCCAAGTTCAGCAGCCATTTTTAACTCTCTATTTTTCTTTAAAATCTGATTAACGAAAGGGTGGCAATAATAACATTTACATCCTACATGTTTAGATCTTTTTTTAGTTTTATGATTCACTAGTTCAACAACGCTTAAAAAATGGAAGGATTTTAGATATATAATTTTAGAAAACACAAATGTTTGGCAAAGGTGTCCTCAACCAGTTACAAATTATTTTTTAAAGTATACCATGTGTTTAAATATAATAATTGCCCATCTGTTTATGCACTACAGCCATTACTTAATGCAATACACCAGTCAACTCAAAGATAAAGTTCCATTTTTGCAACAAGTTAATACAACAATATTAACTCTAGTTAATAGATAAGCAAACGAAAGCTTGCAAAAAATTTTCAGACATGAGTTTTTCTGAGGGTGTGTTTTTCAGATGCCAAAACAAAGAAACACTTTTGCAATATGGCCAGGAGATATAACATCCTTGAAATACATAGCTAACAGGTTATGAATCCCTTGGATGAAGTCACATCTCAAAAGAAATAACAGAAGATCAGTAAATTATTTTAAACCACTA